CAAGTAGGTAATACAAAGTATTTACTGATGTGACTGAACAAGTCATGAAAGGGGTGCATCATTTAAAAAAAAAAAAAAAAGCACGGCCAGGAAATGCTGAGTGATTTGTAACTTCCTATTTCTGGAACGCAGAGATTATTTTTAGAAGGTCCATCTAGCGTCCCTCATAAGAACCAATGAGCACAGAAAATGGTTTGAGTGGTGCTCTCAATCTCACAAAGACGATGGCATACATAAGCAGTGCCCATCTGGCTATATTGCAAATTAACCGTTTTGTTCAACGGACTCCTTTGGGCATTAATGCTTAAATCTCTCCTGGAACTGTGGGGAAGGCTGCTGAAGTATCGAATTAAGTAATATCACCAAGGAAGTCAGAAAATGTCATGAGTAGCTAATGTTGGCTAGTTTTCTAAAAATCGACTTTCTCTCTGACAAACTCATCACCAACCACTAACCCTGTAACCCTCAAAAAGCAACACAAACTCAAACCTTCAACACAAACCGCACCCAACAGTGCGTTTCCCTGCGGGACCAAGGTTGCTTTGCTAGGTTGCTCTAGGCAGGAGGGTAGCCTGCGCTGGAGTCCCACCCACTCGGTCCCGGCCCCTGTGGGCAGTCGCCCCGCAAAACAGCCGTACCCGGCGTGGGCTCGCCGGCCACCAGGCTGTCAGAGGGCCCCGTAAGGACCCCGTCCGGAGGCGGTGGCTCAGGAACACTCATGTCCCCGCACTGGGCACTGCGTGGAGCGAGTGGTGTGGAGAAGTCAGAAGCAAGAAGTAGGAACTTAACGGAGTCCAGCGTCCAGCCGGACAAAAGCCGCCGGGGCGCACGGAAGTGACGAAAGCGGAAAATGTCGCTTTCCGCCACAGCACGTTACTGTCAGTCAGGAAAGCCCGCCCCCGCGTCAGCGCCGTAGGCGCAGCTGTGCGCGTGCGGGTGAGGTTTCACAGAGGGGGGCCCGTGGCAACCGGAAGAACGGTTAGAGGCCCGGATGTCGCCCTAACCTTGTGACTCTTTCCAGTGTTGTCTTCGATTTAAGCGAGAGCATAATAACACGGGCCGCCAAGTTAGTACGAACTCTGAGCTTGAGCGTTGCTTTGGATCTCTTCCAGTGCTTGGAAATGACGTAAAGGCTTTTTTGGAGCATCGTTTGAACAAATTAAGTCAAGTTACCAAAAGCACCTGCTGAGATCCTGTAAGATGACATCATGAATTCTCAAGGAAAGTATGTAGACCTGGACAGACTCAGCTCCACAGCAAATGTAACGATCCTCTAACGATCCTTTTGTAAACTCTGACCTCTAGTAGCATCTAATGTTGCTCCTCAGATTACCTGTTCAGTTTTCCTTACTCTAGCCAAAGTTGTCTCCAAAAAAATTAAATATAAATAAATAAATAAAAATATGTCATGCCTCTGGGTTGCATTGACTCCCTATTGTCCTCATCAGTATGTTCACAGTTTCTCTTTAGCCACTTTTCAAGAATAACTTCTCAACTCTACACGGTAGAATGTCCACAGCCTAATCCCTGAGACCTCCAAATATATTAGGGAGCATGGCAACGAATAAAAGCTACTAGTTAACACAACCTTAAAATAGGAAAGCTATTCCATGGGCCCAAGGTAATAGTCTTTAAAACTGACTGGGGGGTGGGGGGTCTCAAAAAAGATTTGATTATAAAGGATGATTAAACAAATATAGCACTGATGGGTTTCAAGACAGAGGAAGGGAGTCATCAGTCTGGATGGTGGTTGACCTCCAGAAAAACATAAGGAAACCAATTCCTCCCCTAAAGCTTTTGTAATGGAACTCAACCCTGTGAGTTACCAAGATTTTATCCCTGTGAGGTTGCTAAACTATAGAAGTTGTATTAATGAGTGTTGTCATACAAATAGGAAAACAACGTGTTACTCTTCAAACATCTTATGCAATCTGGGCACTGTAAGCTGTCCATGTGTGCAGTGTGCTTGCTTCTGTTTCAAACTAGAGTAACCTTTTCAAAGGCCTATTCATCTTTTAAGTGCTCTAGAATATCTTTTTGTTGTTGTTTTGTTTCACGAGGTGAGGCGTATCCTAGACTGGCCTTAGACTGAATATGTAATTAAGGCTGGCCTTGAATTCCTGGTCCTGCTGTCTCTGCCTGCCAGGAAAGTGTTATGATTATAGACACAAGCCAGCACACTCAAACATACTTTTACTGGGGAAGCCATTCTGAGCCACCCATTCAAACATCCTTTTACTGTGGACACCATTCATTACCTCCCCCCTTTCAGAAACTACACTGATGACATTTCATAAGGACAAACATCCTCCTGCCATTTAGCACTAAGTTTCTCCTCAAATTCGTTATTTCATGTTTTCTTCTTTTGGATTATAAATGCCAAATCTCTTATGCACAGAGTACCAAATTAATCCTCAATAAATTGACTAATTGGTGAACTATTGATACCCTAGCCCCTAATTCCAAATATTTGTAATTTCCAACGTCTGAATTATGCAACATGGTAAACCTGATAAAACACCTGATACCCTTGCTTAGTTATGAATTTTATGTACCAACAATGTAGTGGAGCCCTTTGGAATTTGGAATAGAGCCCTATCCTATGAGTTGTCATTAACTGCTTCCATCTCTTGGCCAGTATTAAGTATATTTCATGAATTTTTAAATACTGGTTATTTAAATTTAATGGATGAAATAAATTGTTATTTCCTGCCTGTCTTTATGATTTGTTTTGCTATAACAAGAATTATTGTTAGGAATTTTAATATTTTCAACATTTTAACTTACTATAACAAAAATCACCTAAATAAACAAGAAGTTTGTACCAGATTCATCTTCCTTTTCTCTCTGATCTTTTCCTTCTTTTTCTCTTACAGATTGGAATTCAATGTGCCACTCTGAGGGTTTGTTAAGTACCTACCCTCTGTATGTGACACAGAGCTCAATAGCAATGCCTAGAATTTGATTGCAAAGAACAAATCAGTTTATTGAGTTGTATTATGTCATTTGAAGGGTCTTCAGTTTTTCCATTTCCTTTTATATATCAAAGTTATACCCTCCAAATACTTTAATGTAATACCTATTAAGATTAAACTAGGCACCTTAGATGGTTATACTAAAAATAGAGTTCTGGTTCCTGTCCACCAGAAACATTGCTATGAACCAAATTCCATAGTTTGTGTTAGAGTTTGTTCTTGATGTTACATATTATGCATTGAAAAATGTATAACGTTGTACTGTCCAGACAATGATTTACAATAGCCAAAGTTGACCAAGCCCGCTCAGTCAGTCAACAGGTTCTCCAGCGCAGGAGTGAGGATTAAAAGAAAAGAGACAATTAGACAAAATTGAAGCATGACCCCAGCCAGTTCTGAGGCTGAAGGCAGGTTTGTTTAATTCAACTTTTCTTTTAAACCTTTTTAATTACATGCAAGTATTTAGGTCAGTTCTAGGTTGAGGAACCAACAATACAATAGAAACAAACAGTCAAGGAACAAACAAGGCAATACACAGAGTCCCCGTGATCACCCCGTGATCACTCTCATGATCTCTGTTTCTAAAGGCTCATCAGGATGACAAAGTATCTGAGCCTACTTCCCTATCCTAGCCCATAGTCATATTCATGCCTGAGGTCTACTTCTTTGTTCTAGCCTAAGACTTGGATTCCTGACTGAAATTACTTCTCTGTTTTAGCCTAAAAATAGACTCCTGCCTGAACTTACTTCCTTGTCATGGCCCAAAGTCAGATTCTTGTCTAAAGCCCATTTCCTTGTCCTTGGCCAATGTCAGATTCCTGCCAAGCAGCCCCAAAGGCTCTCCACACAAAGTTTGGGTTCTGAGTGAATGTTTAAGTGTATAGGAAGCCTAAATAAAAGAATAAATAGCAGATGGGTGGGTGGATGATGGAATGATGGATATATAAATAGCACAAACGTCCTCAGATTAGTAGCTCAAAAATTTCAGCAGAAATTGACAATGGAAGCCCCATTATGGTGGCCAGCTGAAGTACCCCACGAGAGTCCCAGGCATAGTAGAGTGCCCCCTTAGATAAAGTGAGCTCCCCAAATAAAAGAAAAAGTAGCCATAGATAAAGATAACATCATCAAATTAGGAGGTCCAGCAGAGATCTACTTGGGGGAAGTTGGGGCAGTCAGCTGAAGCAGTTCCTGACCCATTGCGTTCTCTTTGTGGATGAGGGTCACATGGCTGAATACCTGCCTTCTCTTTCACATTTGCAAGTACTTTTATATCATGGGTCAAACAATAGTAACCTGTACTGGAAATGGATTATCTTCTGGATGTTCTCAGGACATGGTGTTTTTACTCTTGAGATGTTTTCCCTGTCTGTCACCAAGTTAGAGAGGCCAGCCTATATCCAGACAAGGGGCCTTCAAGGGACACATGCTTGGTTCTGAAATGTGAGGAGATGGGTTGTCCAAGCATAACCTTTGCTACCAGAGAGAGTTTCTCAGTGAGCTCGGACAGTACATGATTGCTAATATAATGTGCACTGCACCATCATATTATCATAATAATTCCTCTGCATTGAATACTGTCGGGATTCTTCTCATTCCTACTGCCCCAATGCTCGTCAAGAATAATAGTTGATTCAAAATGTCAACTTGACTGGATTCAGAAGCTCCTAGATCACTCAAGCACACCTCTGTGTGTGCATGTGAGAGTATTCCAGACCAGCTTCACTAAGAAAGTGATAGAAGATGTTCCCTGAACGCAGGCAGTCCCGCCCATGGGCCAGTAGCCAAGATAAGTTACTAGGAGCACAGGAAAAAGTCTGGCAGCAGAATATTCTGTATCTGTTTTCTGGCTATCACTGCAAGGTGTGAGCTGCTTTGCTCACCATGCCCCCCCCCCCCGCTGTGACAGACCAAAATTTCTGAACCCCTCAATGAGCACAGCAGACCAAAGCCTTTGAAAATGTGAGCCAAAGTAAACCATTCTCCTTTATATGACTTTTCTCAGGTATATTTCAGGTCAATGAAGAGCTAATGAATACATCTGGCAAACACTGGTGTCTTTATTTAGTCTCCATAGTGTGGCCTTTTCAGAATGCCATATAGTTGGAGTGATACAGTATGTAGCCTTTTTAGTCTGATTGTTTTCACATACATATGTATTTAGGTTTCCATCAAGTCTTTTCATGATACCTCACCTTTTACTGCTGATTTAATTAATACATGAGGAATATGCAAACTTATGCATAACATATACATATATATGTATAATATATCATATATTATACATATATACATATATATTTATACACACACACACATATTTGTCCACTGAAGAACAAAGATCTTGTTGCTTCCAAGTTCTGGCAATGATGAAAGAATACACATGTGCAGATTTTCGTGTGGACATGTTTTCTAATTCAGTACATAAATTTGAAAGGGTGGGATTTCTGTATCTTAGGATAAGATGTGTAATTTTACTAAAAAAATGACAAATTCTCTTCTAAGAATTTGTATCTTTTTCCTATTTAAATCAGGTTTTATTCTTCTTTTTATGTATTTTTTAAGATTTATTAATTTTATGTATTTGAGTACAGTGTCAGTGTCTTCAGACACAGCAGAAGAGGGCATCAGATCCTATTATTGATGGTTATGAGCCACAATGTAGTTGCTGGTATTTGAACTCAGGACCTCTGGAAGAGCAGTAGTGCTCTTAACTGCAAGGCCATCTATCCAACTCTTTTTAATTTTTTTTAAAAGAGTGCATTCTATATTTT